TTGTGAAATCTTTTGTTAGTGATCAGTGTGATATATATATATATATATATATATATATATATATACAAATTCCATAGATCTAACTATTACATGATTTTAAACGAAAATTGCTTAACTTTTTAGAAAGACAATTGGTAACTTTTTCCTCAAAGCTTTTCAATTGTAACTCAAAGTATTCCAAATATGAAAAATAATAAAATGCGAATAAAATCTTTTTAACCAAGCATTATATGACATAAATATTTCCTAGAAATCATTACTACATAAATTGTGAAATGTTTTGTTTGTGATGAGTGATGTCAACTCCGACAAATTTACTAAGCACTTGAAATGATGTAAGAGAAAAATACTTTAATTGTGTCTTGGATTTCTTAAAGTCAATGGTCTTCGGTTCGTAATTGAAATATTCCTTGATACTTGATGGTTTCATTTTCAATTATTAAACGAAATTAGTTTTTTTTCCATCTCTTGTAATATCTAAATGTAATTTGGTTACTTTTTTCTTGATAATAACAAAGCACTTACTTTTATGCAATTTAGTTACTTTTTCTTGATAATAACATTACGAAATCATGCACAAAACTGTAAGGTATATAACCACACAATTAATAAAGCAAAAATAATTTCAACTATTTCTTTCTTTATTATTATTTTGTAGTTTTTAAAATAAGTAAAACATGGTTTTCGATACTTCATCCCAGCAGAATAGAGACTAACTGTATTCAGCATCACTTGGCGTGATATGCTACAGCTCCCGAACAACTCATGTGAGTCGCCATTTGTAATTGATATAATCGACACTTGATTTGTTATCGACATTGTGAAATAGTTTTCTCTGGTATACCTATCCCTCTTAAGGGGCCATATGTCACTTAATTCTACAGTATCTGTAGAAAAACTGCATGAATCAGTGCCCTTTTAATAATTATCAATATATATTCCAATAATATTTTGTACATACTACATACCCTGCAACATTTGAGTATTGTGAGAAGTACATTTATCGGTCGTATAAACATAAAACTGAAATTCTAAAATTAAATTAAATTATTATAAGATTTCGATAACAGAAGAGTCTGCTGGACAATTTCTCTAACTTTTAATATTCTGTTTAAAATATTTATAAGTAGGGGTGGAAATAAAGTTCTTTTAATTCTAATTCGTTAAAGTATTAATACATCTTTGTGACATCTGAGAATATAATTTTTAAAACTACAAAAGGCCTTCATAAAATTCTTATTAAATTTTCACCAAATACCACAATAATTTTAGTACATAATACTGAAATTAAATAAACATAATGTCTACGTATGACGATTTTCTGCGGTTCCCCTAAACATATTTCCCGTTAACATTTTCTAAATTAACTTTGCTCTATAGCTAGTAGCGTTTCTTTAATTTTCATTTATAACAATATTAATTAAGCATTGGTATTGATAGAGTGGCGATTTTTCAAGGTTCTCCAAAGCGAATAAGTATATTTTCTCTAACTACATTTACTAATAATCATATTTACTAATAACTATATTTACTAATAATACTCCCCTTTCAGTTTCAGACTTTCTAAATGTCAACGGATTTATTGATCTGGTCTGACGGAGTCAGACCAGATGGGAATTACCAACAACAACGGCAACTAATAACTATATTTATTTTACTTTTATAACTATATTTTCTATATTGAATAACTATATTTACTTTACTCTCTAGTAGATAAGTTATATTTTTATTTTAATTAATACATATTATCAACAGTAATTAAACATTATTCTCGTCAATAATAGTATGGCAGATTTTTATTGTTCCTCTAAGCGAATAAAATCTCCTAGTCCATTAATTTTGCCTTTAAGTACGTAGCTTATTTATTTATTTCAAAATGCAAATATTACTTAATTTAAATAACAATCAGTAGCGTCAATAATAGTATGGTGATTTTTTACATTTGTCATATGTGAATCCCTCTTTTCCATTACATTTGCCTTATAATACATAGCTATTTTTTTAATTTCAAATACCGTTGATTTTATATTATTTACTTTTATGGAAACATATTTTGAAAGAATCACTATAAACAAAATAAAAACGTGATATCAGATATATTAATTTGGTGACGTAGTCAAAGAATTACACCGAATTAAAGTTGTTCCTTGAATTTATCTGACATATCGTCTAAAAAAAACTAAATATGAAAGTATGTGCAATATACTTTTTTAAAATATAAATATTTATTTAGTGTACCTTGCAAAGTAAATCCAGATAAAATTACGGTAAAAAGTACTGGCACCATGAGTATGGTATCCCCAAAAAGCATTTTACCATAAAATTTATACCATAATTAAAGCAAACATCTAAAAAGGACAAAAATAATTTTAGTAATTTTCGGCAAAAGAAAATTCAATTTTTTTTAAAACTTTTTTTATTTTATTTAATTTTTTTCTGTGTACCTCCATTTTTTTCACTGCTTAAAAATATAAATGAATAAAACAATTTTTCAGTACTTTTCGGGGGAAGAAAAACTTTTTTTTTCCTTTTAATTTTTTTTTTGTGAACCTTCAGTGTTTAAAAAAATAAATAAGATGGAAAATATAGTAAAAAAATAATAATAAACATTAGCGGAAGTCTAAATTTTTTGCTTACGCTCGGCTAATCGAAAAGTACTGATTTCACTTAGTCGGAGATCAAACAGCCTAAACCGATAACATATTGAATATAAGTTGCTTACGTTTCTCCAACGTGCTACTGGGGCATTACTTTGGCTGAAATCTTTTTCTTTGTGTATGTAGCATAAAAAACTTTTTTGAAACGACTTCGTAACAATATGGCATAAAAAATATACTTCAGTTCAGATCCTAAAAATCTTTAAAAAATGATTTGTTTGATATCAGTAGTTTTATGTTTCCCACGATGCAATTCCTTTGACAGAAGAAGTTTTTAAGCGTGAAAGAATTGGAATAAATTTTAGAATGAAATTAAAATTTTGAAGCCGAGTTCTTTTGGATTGAAAGGAATTAATGAATAATTCGTAAAAGCTGTATTATTATTATTATTTTTGCGTCCAACTCAAAATTTTGTTTTACAACACAATTTTAAGTAAAAACAAATTTATTTTCAACTTCGTATCTTAAATTTTATGAAATTCTTTTTTAAAGTTATTGCTAGAAAAACCCAACCGGCTTAACAGTTTACTATAGATACATAAAATGGTTAATACCAGATGAAAAATATAATCAAATATTATTAAATATTTTATTATTTTGACTCTACTTAAATAGGCAAAATTAAATCTACAACTTATGCAATCTAGGTAGGTAATAATAACTAATAGGTCACTAAAATGTAATTTTTTCCTTTGTATATTTTAGTAAGTTTAACTACAGGTATCAATTAAAGGACTTCTCGATATGATGTATAATTAACTGAAAGATGTCATCAGATTAATATTCTTCAGAAAATTAAAGTGGTAAATTCTGGGTGAAAAAGATAATTAAATATTACGTAGAACATCATCAAACTCTACTTAAGTAAGCAAAATAAAATTTACAAATTAAAATTTTAATAGATAACTGATATTTTTTCCTTTGCATCTTTTAGTTAGCGTAGTTTAACTTTGTATTTCTTCGTAAGTTTAACAACGAGCATCAATTCATGCAATTCTCCACATGGTGTATAGTCACATGAAACATATCATTAAATTAACACGGATTCTTAAAATGGTTAATATTGCATACAGCATTATCAAAATCCACATAACTTTTCACACTAATATTTAGAATTTATGCAACTTTATAGATAAATAGATACAATTTAGGAAAAAATTAAAAAAATATGTTATCGAGTAATGGGTACTTTTGGCAGCAGGCAAATGTTTTTAACTGCTGTACGCTAACTCCGGTGTATAGCATTTTGAACTATAAATACGATTACATCCTTAATTTCATTTTTTAACTCATCGAACGAATAATATTTTTTCAGCCTAAGCTATTTAAACACATTTTAATTTTCAACACAAAAATTTCTGTAGATTTTCCACTGCATGTCTTGCTTAAGATACTAGTTTCAAGATCGTATGTTTTATTTTTGCTATAGCAAAAACTTTAATTTTTATAGGCTTTAATGAAATTATATGAAATATTATATTATTTTTAGCAATTTCACTAAGAACCATAATTTTGTATCTTGTTAATGTATCGGAGGTACCTGTCCCTTTAAATATACAAGGCTCTTTTGTCTTACCAATCAAATGTGTTTTCAATAATAATATTTCAATTCTTTCCATTTAATTCTTTCCATTTTCACCCGAGTTTTAAATAATTACGGAAAAAATAGACTTTTACCTCAATATATACCTTAAAAGGAACGAAAGACAATTGTTATTAAAAAAATAATTATTTAAATTTAAGTAGTAAATTTTAATCATTACTAAAAATCTAAATATTATTATTATTAGTATTTTTTTCATATTTTAGGATATAATGTATTTCTTTACATTTCGATCTGAATCAAAATCCACTAGATTCAAAAAAAGAAGAAAAAAAGAACTTTTTGTCGTAAAATTGTCAAAACATTTACTCGAAACGAATTTCTTACCTTTCTAACAATTTTTAATTCTAATTAAGAACTTCAGCTAATGAGAATAAATCTATTTATATTTTCACAAAGACAATCGTTTTGTAAAAGCATAGAAGCAGAAAAAAATTAAAATATTGTTTTTTAAGTGATAAAATTGCACTAAACATTGTTTACGCTGGATCTCAAGAGGTTAGTGCATTTCGGATTTATGATACCTAAACTATTAATCTTATAAAATAAATGGAAAAACTCTTAATTAATTACATTTTTTTAATTAAAATGACAGTACTAAGTATCTTACTATTCCTCCCTGACATTGATCAATCACTAAAATCGCAAAATCCAAAAATGAATACTCACCTAGAAAATACTCTCATCATATTTTGACATTAAACATAGGAATTTTTGTTTTCAATTTTTGCAGCTACATGAGAGAATTCATAAGCTAATTGCAAGATCAACAATGCACAGTAACAAACCACCTGTTTTGAAAAATGTGATCTCAGTCAAATTTCTTTTAGACTATATCTCTGCGATGGACTGCATTAAATTGTTTCTCTTTCTTTAGTACTAACCTTAGGAAGCATCCTCGGAGATTCAGAGAACAATATTGTCGTCACGTGAGCACCTTTCGCCAAAGTCGCCAAAATCAATAAAACGAGGCTCGATACTTTTCCCACAGTTTTCATAGATATTTCGCCAAATTCCACAATTTCAGCGATCCAACGATTTTCTTGTAACGTAACAAAATAAAAAGCGTTTTACGAAATAAGCGAGTATTTATTCAAATAATTCTTTTGTTTGAAGTTATTGATATTTAAATGCTTTAGAATCTAAAATCGTGTAGAATTTTTTTTTATCTCTATAATTCGCCCTTTCTAACCTACTCCGTGAAAGATTTAAAAAAAAAAAAATTACGGAAGAAATTACCTGCACTTTCACAAAATCCACACCTTATCCGTAAAATCCATTTTAGCATAAAATCTATTTTTACCGTAGAATATTATGCCGTAATTTTTACAGTAATATTTAATTATTAACAATAATTGCGTGATTTTGCAGTAATTATAACTGTATTAAAATTACATTATATCTGATTTTTTGACCATAGCATGTTCCGATAAAAATAGATTTTACGGAAAAAAGTACCTGCATCATGAAGACCAGTATTTTTTACCGTAATTTGATCTGGAACTTTTTACGGAGCACTGGAAGAAAAACATTTTTCAAACAAAATAAAAATATTCTTCAAAATAGATACAAAGAGAAAAAAAATTAGACATTAGTAAAAAACGCTAAATTAATTAACCGTTAAATGTTATAACTGTTAACCGTAGAATATATGCAGGAATTTCGGAGTTGGAATGTGGTAATTGGTATATATCATTATTTAAAATAGAGGTATAAGTTCTAGAACCATTTGTCAGTCACAGGAGCTGCTGTAATAGCAAAATGGCTATCATTTCTATAATTGCTAATAATTAATTAATTTGAAAAAAAAATTTGATTTTATTGTGTTTCTTTTACTGCTCCGTTCACTATTTCAGCTGAGGTACATACATAAGGCATCATTAATAATAAGACAAATTTATATACCTGTTACTCGTATACGGAAAAAAATTATAGATGAAGTCCTTTATGTCTTGTTATTTATAATATGTCACACACTGAGAAATAAGTATGGTTAAAACTACCAGAATGTGGTAAAATTTATCGTGTTTCCGCCTCTAAGGGAATTTACTTTTCAGTTGAAATTTACTTTTCATTTTTGTATTTTTGGTAATTGTGTGATAATAGGAGCTATAATTTTCAAAACTCGACTGTCCGGTAAAACTACCGATGGAAAAATTACCAAGAAAATCGTTTAAATATCGTATAATTTGGTTTTATTACCAGAATTATGCTTTATTTTTTATTTTTTACCATTGAAATATCATTACCATGCTGTACGGTAATTTTAATAACATTTTTCTTCTCTGTCTGGTAACGTAATTTTTCTTTCTATATTTGGCCCAGTAATTGCATTGCTATATGGGCCAATTATTGCTTTGTGATGTACCAATATCAGTGATGATGAAAGTGATCATGATAGTTACAATAAAGATGTGTATAATGTTTGTTATTATGTCCTAAAACTAGCGGAAAAGGTCAATATAAAGGTAAAAAGATGAAGATAAAGGTAAAGATAAAGATATTGTTAAATAAAACAGCTAGAGTCAATTATTAAACAGAAACTAACATATTGTGCTATGTTTTTGATCAAAATTACAGTGAACTGTAAGATGTCAGTGAGGTAGGTAGGTACTTTAAGTCTTACTAAAGCTGCACAATGGGTTATTTGCGGCGGTCTGGGAAACACTCCTGAGGATGATTCGAATACATGCCATCGCCATTTTGATCCTCTGCAGAGGGGATGGCTGCCCTGCTCTGGTAGTCCGACGACTTGCACGCGAAGTCGAGCATTTCACGGTAGAGCAGTTTAATGAAGACCGATACCGCGCACCCTCGGTCTCTACAAAGGCAAATCAAAGTAGTCACCCACCAGCTTATTCTTTGCAATGATAGAAAAAACCAAAAATACTTTTCCTTTTAAATTTCCCGAAGTAAAATGTAGCAAAAATAACTCTATTCTATAAACACCGATTCAATTTTAAAGCTAATAATACTGGAATCATTAATAATAATAGAACTATTCATAATTATATTAATAAATTTAATATTTTATATTTTGCAATTTTTTATCTTCCCCACTAAAAAATACTTAAAAAAATTAATAATAAAAAATATAACTCCTGAGATATTTTAAAAACTTTGCATGTATATCCGATAATAAAATAGCTTACTAGAATAATATTTTAGTACATTTTAAGAAGACAGATTACGCAAATCTCACCAAAAGAAATAAGTTTGTGAACATGTTTTAAGCATTTTTTACAAAATTTAAATTAAGTTTCATCTGTTGAATTAAAAAAGGAATTTTGATATATATTTTTAATATAATTCTTAAAATATAATTTAAAATGTAAATTTAAAATACAATTTAATAAATATTTAAAATATAATTTTGTGATTATTAAAATTAATTCGACACAGATTTTAAAAGTTCTCTTTTACATCATCATGACAATTAAAAAATTAGTGCACCATAAAATCTCTGCTTATAATACTTTTCACGATTCGCTATTCTAGTTAATAAAGCCAAAATATATGGTATTTAAACCATTCAATTGGTAATTTTTCCGTTCGTAATGTAACGGTTTACCGGAAATTATTAGTAGAAAATACAAGATTTAATAGTGATTTTAACCGATGAAATGCTTTTTATACAATGCTCTTAGATATTAAGATAAAATTGCCAATATTTATTATCATGTAAACCATAATTTATTGTTAATTTTATTGAAAATCATCACCAAAACGTTCCAGTAAAAATTACCGAGCTTTTAAATGTTCCCATAGAGCTAAAAATTCTAAAAATTCTGTAAATTTTATCATACTCTGGTAGTTTTGATCATACATTTTTTTCTCAGTGCATAATGCGCATTATTTAGCCATGGCCTTGCTAAAAAGCTACATCTATTCTAATTGTTGCTAAAAAGGGAATAATAATAATAATAATTACGTATTTGTTACTTTAAAACTTCTCATCATATAATTATAAAAAATATTTCAATTATCCGTTAGCTGCTAGTATCGTTTACTTATTAAAGTTGGAATATCATTTCACAATATATGCATTTAAATATTTAATTAAAAAAATCTCATATGAGTAAACATTAATTTTAAAAAAATGTAACTAATTACGAATTAAATAAATAATATCGAATTACAAATCAAATAAATATAAAATAAATATTGCTAACAATAATGATATGAAAAAGGTATCATGACGATCTTTCAATCTTTTAAATATAAGATACTAAGGATAAGATACTTAATGAAGTATTTCTTTAAAAAATGAAATGACATAGCTAGAACAATGATGTAGAATGTATAGGTTGAATGTTTTAGAATTTTTAATTTCATTTGTTTCTGATAAAAGTAATTATAGTTTTTATTCATAGCAATCTTGTTTACGCCCTTTAGATTTTATATTTGAAAGGTTGAACTACTACTGTAATTCAAATATCAAATAATGTCTATGGTAGAGATGTATCTCAGTGGCCAGCCTCGAGGATGGCTTACCTCCAAACAAAATTTTTATTTAAATAAAAATTAACAAATTAAATGAAATTTATGTCAAACTGTTGAATTAGCCGTCCTGGATGAACAACTAGTTAAGTTATTAATTTGTTTTTGGTGTATGCGATTTTATTTTATTTCTCGCCGGAAAATACTATTGCAATTCTTTATAACTTATGTCTTTCATAATTTATTCAATATGTTGTTATTAGAAAGAATTTACATATTTCGATTTAAACTGGCTTTTTACTTAAATAGTTTCAAAAAAATAACTGAAATATTATTCAAATTACAGATTTTTGACTGGATCTAAACATTTTTGATGGTGTTAAAAATTCGTTGCTGGTAAAAGAGATTCCTAGCTCTCGGTACCCTAATGACTTTTCCAAGAAGCACTAGAGTTCCGCGGAACACTTTTAAGGGACCACTATTCTGAATCAAAATATATATTTATTAAAAGAATTTTTAAACGACCGAGTTTTACATTTCCTTTTACAGTTTTTGACTTGTTTTCCAGTTATATAAGTTTATAGTCCCTTTTTCCTAAAATATAAAAATATTTAAAATATTGAAAAAATAAATATCAAAATAAAAAATATTAAAGAAAATACAAAATATTTAGTTACTATTTTGACTCGAAGAGGGTGAGGGAGGAAAGCTTCCAAAGCCCTAGCAAGAAGGTTTGAAAGTATTTGAACTTTTTTCTTCTTTCCTCACCAGCTTTTAACCAAAATTGTTACTTAATAGTTTCATTGTTTGGTTAATAAAGGGAGGGCAGTACAAACCAAACACCAAAGCTTCAATGGCTTGAGGAACAGAGCATCCGCTTCCCTATGACGCGACCCGTGTTCGAATTCTGGAGTTGACTAGTCACGTGAATTCTGCTCTCGGCTCGCACCAACCACAATCCTGATATAACTATTTTATAGAATTTTTTGTTAAAACAACCGAGTTTTTTTTTGTCAACATAAGAGTTAAAATAACAGATTTTTTTTATTGAAATAGCAGTACTTATCTGCTTAAATACAGGCACCCGTTTTCAAATAACAGTATTTCTTGTGAAATAAACGGTTTCATACTGGCACGCCAGCTGGCAGTTTTTAATCATCCAGATTTTTTTTTACAATGTATGAAAATGGAAGACAAGAGACTCTTCTGTGGTTAGGTCACGTTGACAGGATTCATTTTCAATAATCTATCTGCCGATAACTATAATTTAATCGGCTCAAATGGAGAACAGAATACCAATTAATCAGATACCAAATCCTCATTTTGAACCTGGGACGTTTATATTGGCAGCACCCACTAAACTATGCCAGAACTTAATTTTAGTAAGACTTAGGTTTTTGATGGTCAGCATTCACTGAATCTGTGGATAAGTCACAACCCAACGGATAAACAATTGGACACAATGAATAAGTCAAA